ATACTTTTCCTCAAATAAGAACTCCCAACTCCTCCAATTTTTATTCTTCAATTTGGCCTGTCATCAGCTTCTTAAGTCAAGGCTACTCTTCCCACAGTCATAGAAATTGAGAATAGTTTATTTTATCTACTGTTACCAGCAGATTCTAGTGAAATCAAGCAGCACATACAAACACTGTTTAACAATCCACTATTCATATACGTACAGATAAATACATATACACACACACTCACTTTCAGGTGGACAATCCAGTATAAATTCTACACTTTAGCCTATATCTAATATAGGTACCTTTTATCTCTTTTTCATACAAACACTGCAATAATCATGAATCCTGCTAACCACATGAGGACAATTAAACAGTTGAGCAAATAATGGTCAATGTTTAAACTGGGAAGGGATGGACAACTTCACCAGACAGGTCAACGTGACTGAAACTGGGAAAGGTTATGTTAAGTATAAAGGGCTCAACCCTGAAGTAATTTCCTTCGGTTGTTTTTTATAATCAGGTCTAATGACCCATTGTAAAACTATGTTTTGTGAAAGCATTAGACAGACATAATATGGACTAAACTCAATTCAGCCTATGTCCCTCATCCCCCTAAGGCCAAAGCTAAAAGCAGACTGTACACAAACACTTTGGTCCCATGCCTCCCACCCCCACAAACCCTTAATAACATGAGATTTGAGAGCATGTCTAGAAAGGACGGGGGAAAGGCCTAAATCTCTGAAGACCTAAATTCAAAGCCAGAAAAGAAGAATTTCTCCATTAAGCAGTTAAAATTTCTCCTTTAAAATACAGAAGAAATGTATTCTCTTGCCTACTGTAAACTGTTTATAGCCAAGCTTGTATACACACACAGGCTTTTTTTAAAGACAGATTTTAGAGTGATTCATAAAAAGCTGACTTGAGCAGTCACCATAAAGACATTCTGCAGTTCCAAAGACAAATCTTCAGCTTATTGGAGCATACCATAGAAACTGGTCATCCCAAATAACTTTTATATTCTATACAGAAATTTTACTAAGTGATGCAACACACATAAATTATAGGCCTGTTTTCACCTAGCTCAGAGACACCCCAACTCCTTAGCAATATTTTCCTAACATTCTATGTCATCATAACATCTTACTGGAAAACTAAGCACATGGAGTGGGTATGTTGCCCTAATGTAAAAATTGCTGTAAGCCAGACTTAAAATTTGGGAATGTGCAGATGAAGCAAGGTTTACTGAACTGTTAAATCAGAACCCTGCATGACAAAACCATTCTGTTCTATCAGGAAGAATGAGAGATACACTGGCTACACAATTGTGGATGTCACTTTGAGAAACTCAGTTCTGAGTCTGTCAATGAATTATTTTGTCTAGTTCCTCACAGGCAGTATAAAGGTTTCAGATTATAAATTACCATATCATATGAAAAGTACATGAAGATGTCTCTAGTTAGGATATATCTTGGGACACAGTATAAATATTAATTAGACATGACCTGCATACAAATACTGCACTGCTATTGAAGATTGCTTCTGGAAGTGACAATTTACCTCTAATTTACCTGCTAATTAGGAAATTTCAAAGATTCATTTCAACACTTGTGATAAAAGTTAGGATGGCATAAAAATGAGAAACCACTAAGCATCTTAAAAGTCTCTCTCTCTCTCTTTTAGCTGTCAGTGCAACAACAAATGTGCACATCCTTCTTTTCCATTTTCTGATGAAACAGGATAAAAAGATAAAGTCACATAAAAAGTGCTTATCAGAATTATCTGATGGAGAGTTGGGAACTAACAATTACACTGACTTCACACATATGTGGTAAAGACCACCACAAAGATATATTTCTTGAAACTACCACCTCTTGACGCAGCAGAATGGAATTGCTCTGAAAAGGTCTTCCTGACAATGCCCTTAAGACTGAGAAATAAAGCTAGAAGAAACCCTTTTATATTTCATACACAGAGTTCTAAATAATTCTGAGAAATCAATTTTCTTTGGGAGTGCAGCAAGCTTTCAACCAAATCCAACAAGGAAGACATTTTCATGATAAACTGAAAAGATGACTATTCGGAAAAAAAAAAAGATAAGGAAAAAAATTCTTTCTGCAAACTTTCCCTTTTTGTAAACTGTGTACTACAAAGTTCAAGCATCCAAGAAAAAATTAAGGTACCACTTAAGAAAGAAATGGGAAGCCAGGGAAAGCCAGACTTTTAGACTTAAAATTAGCATCAAGGTAACCTATTTCCACCTTGGTATTTGGACAGAAAATCCAGACAACTCAGTGAGGCTGACCAATCTACAGAGCTGTCCTACAGAGCAGAAACACTATGAAGTTCCACTTATTCAGTCAAATTTTTTATAAACATTCAATATATAGTATTTTTGAAGCTTTCAATATATACATATTCACATTACAAGAGTATATCACCCATGCAACCTTTAGATTTTCTTAAAAAAAAAAGGTGAAACAAATTGTGTCATACAGCTATGAGAGACACCTAGCTTAAAAGTCACAGGTGTAAGCTGGCTCTGAATTCAGAATTCATATTTAATCCCCTGTCCCACACCACCTCAATCTCCTGAAAGCATTAGCAGCTTCAGAAGCTGTTGCCAACAATGTACTCATGAAAACAAAGGGTTACATTTCATTTGATCTAAAGTTAATTTAATCTTCTACCATGTATCTGTTTCATATAATAAAATATTCTAATCAACAGTCCTGTTATCTACAGTATTTTAATTCACTTGGATAATGGGAGTTCACAGTTACACTCTTCATAAAACACTGAAAAAGAGCTTCACATTCTTCTCCATTAGTAGATGATTCCAAAATACATAAAATAATACAGCTTATTGAAGTAAATTAAATAAATATAAGTAAGAGCTCCTAATTTATGGCTAGCTTTACCCAAAGTAAGCCATTATCCTATGCCATGATCTCTGCCAACTTGATTCTCCTTCCAATGGCAATCTGATTGACACAGATGGGTTACAGTTGGAAAGGACCTCTAGAGACCGCTGTATCCAGCCCCCTCACCCAAGGAGAGCCACTGAGAGCCAGCTCCCCAAGACCATGTGCACAGTATTTGAATACAACCAGGGATGGAGTCTCTACCACCTCCCTCAGTAACCTGAGCCAGGGCTTGGTTATCCTCACAGTCAAAATGTGTTTCCTGGTGTTTAGAGGGAGCCTCCTCTGCTTTTTTGTGCCTGTGCCTCTTGTCCTGTCTGCGGGCACCACTGAAAAGTCTATCTCACCTCTCTCTGCACACTCTCTTGAGGTATTTATATACTTTGATGTGATTCCTCCTCCCTGAGCCTTCCCAGGCTCTCCTATGAGGAGGAATTATCCAGTCTCAGCCTCTCAACCATCTCTGTTTGACTCTCTCCAGTGTGTCAGTGTCTCTCTCAGAGAGCTGGTTTGCATTCATTTTTTTCCAATGAAACTCCAGAAATCCTGAGTTCCATTACCTTTCAGGAAATCCCTGATCAAAATGGCACTATGTATGGAATTCAGCAGCTCTTTCTCCTTCTAATTCAAATCACTTTTAGTAAGCTAGAAAGGAACAAAAATCTTTCCAAAAATTCACACTTTTAAAGTTTAAATGTTCACTAACATTCCTAGGAACCTTATTTTCCAGCATTATATCAATGCTTAAAATGCAATCTAAAAATCCATTCAGTGAAAATCATTATTTTAACAGCTGCTACTAGATTATTTATACTCTTTAACATTCAGTCACCATAACCTGAGTAATTAAGTTATCAAAAAAGCAGTAATATCTGGAGTCAGTATAAATATTACAAACCCCATTTTTGTCAAGGGAGGGCATACTGACCCAGGTTATCATCTTACTCCTTTAAGAACTAATAAAATTTGGGAAAAAACAGATAGGGATCTAAAATACCCTTGTAAAAATCATGAAGCATCATCATTTCCAACATATTGTCATGAACACCATGATGTTTCTGGGCAAACAGTTTGCCTTATTAAATAAAAAATATGTACTGAATATATTTCTTCTTTGTTTGTAATGAAAAGTAGGTTCTACCCCCCAAAAATAGATGCCATAAGTTAAAGATAATCTGGGAAAAATTTTGGTTGGGAGTACATAAAAGTACAGGTTTCATTCCTGAAAGCATTCAAAGCAACATGAAATCTTAAGGCCTTCAACCCACAAGCCTTACACCACACTACACAATTTCGTGATAAAAACTTTTTTTCCTTTTAAAAATTTGCACTGCTTTAAACTTTCATGCTGTAGTTCAAAAAAATAATGTATTCCAGCAATAAAGTTACTGACAATGTCTTGTGGACTAGACACTTGTTTATATTGAAAGTGCAGCCAATTAAACTAAAACTTGTAATTTAAAGCTTCATGGAACAGTAATTTTTATGGCCTGATAAGTAATGGAGACAAACTTAGGTAACCCAGAAAGGCCCAGACAAATATATTATTTAACAGCAAATGTTTACTGGTCAGGCTCACAAACAATACTGGGTTTTTTCCCTCCTTTGCTGCACAGTACTAAGAGTATACACATGAACAAAGCCAGAAAGAACAGGGAACAGAGTTACAAAAGAACATTAAATCAGAAGATAATTTATCTGCCCTGCTGAGAAGAGCTCAGGGAGGTAAGCCAAAACATTGGAAAAGAAGAAAATACCAGAGAACTAAACAAAAGAAAGTAGAAGTGTAACACTCAATTAAGACAGTGCAGGACTTTATACAATACTCTACACCAACGTACACTGATTAAATTATTTCTTGACGTCTCCTCTTGATCATTTACCTACGAAGCCAACAGCCCTCAGAGCTGCTGACAGAAAACATCTCTGAAATTACCACTTATACAAAGCATACATGACAAAGTATAGCACTGCCCAATTCAGCTAGAGCACAAAGCAAGAGCTAGGGTGAAAAAGAACACATCAGCAGCACTTCTGGTAATGCTTACACGTTTCCAACTAGCTGCAATTAGTTTAAGTGTGATGCTTACCTTTAATAGTTTCCTCCACAACTTCTACTACACGATCTATCTGCTGAACCTAAAAGAAGTCAGAAGGTAAATACCTAAGTAGTCAACAATTGAACATACTTTCATATTAACTAGTCTTTCAAGAGTGTCTTCTTCTGGATTAAGGGAGAGTAAAGAATTTTGGGCTTTTGGTGTTTTTGGCCAGTTTTTACTTTCTGTGGATCTTGGTCAATCTGCCAAAAGTAACTTTAACATTTACCACCCAATTTAAACCAAATTTTGTCCTCAAAAATGGCAAGCTCCCATACGTTTGGCAAAAGTCACCAAACTGCTAGAAAAGAGTTCAGGCCTTAAGCTGTTCATGGTCTGTGACAGGCAATGGTGAACCAGGCACTCAGCACCTGGGTGGCTCAAACAGACAAAGTGCTCCCTCACCCCAGTCTCCACAGCAAAATAGTGGATGGTGGAGAACACAACAAAAAGCTGAGGATATTGTCAGGGCAGAATATAGGGGAGAAAATGAATGAGGTACTGGAGGGGGAAGACACTGGAACATAGGAAGAAATTAAAAATACTGTTGTGAAATTTAAAAGAACAAGATAGTCTCCTGAACTTGCAGGTTGTGTTTGGAAATGGAGAGAAAAGCCCTCGTGCTTTTCACAACACAAAATAATCTTTAATGACCTTAATAAAATGTCTGCAATAAAGACAACAAATTTATGTTTTAGTGTTATATTTGCCAAAATTCACCAATAATGGGATAAATAGTTCAATTATTTCTTAATAGGTATATCAGTATTTATTTAAAGTCAATGGCCAACACACTGTAGAGATTTTGGCATATAAACTAAAAGGAATCAACATTAACACTGCAAAATTAAACACTCAGGAATTCTTGAAGCTGAGGTTCTTTCCAGAGCTTTCATCCAAGCCACCTATTCTGTATAATTCTACTATAGATATTTACATACAATACAGGAAAGCCAACTTGTCACACTTAAGTTTGTATGCATTTTTTCCAAAATATTCCTTTCCAAACACTGCTTCTCTAAGCTGTACACTACATTAACTAGATGTAGCATGAATTTAGCAGTCTGTTCCTTGGAGTTTGTTTTCCAGCTTGTTTCCAAAACAAGCAGAAAAGCACAAGTTGCAGAGGCTTCAAGAGAATAACCTGGTCTGCAACAAGGAGCCTGGAACATGGGTCCCTCATATCAAAGCCATTAAGTCTCTCTGCCCTAAACCACTGAGCTTGTCATCTCCTGTAAATACAGGACTGCACAATCTTGTCTGCTTCACATTCATTTTCCCAATCTGTCTAGTAGAAGTTAAAAAAAAGCTCACCTATAGCTGGAGTCTGATTTTAAATTCCCAGCTGAAGTCAGTGGGAGTCAATTCCTTTCCTTGTCTAAGTGTTGGATCAAGTTAATGTAAAAGTATTTTTCTTTTTCTTTTCTTTTTTTTATCTGTATTTCTTTTGAAATACAGATTTTAAAATAGGGATGTCCACCATTTCACATTTTTTAATACAGTACATTAGTTATGAATTCTAGAAATTTAGTTATAGTATTCCTAATATCTCCAGTTTAATAATTTTATTGAAAAATGAATGTATTTAAATAATTTTCTGAATCACAAGCATTCACATTAAAGACATATATACCTAGCAATCAGCTTATAAAGGAAGCACACATAAGCAGTCAATAGAACACATGCATATTTACATACTTGTGCAAACATCCATTTTGGATATAGTTTTAAAAATTATGACTCAAGATATTTATCATACATACTTTCTACTAAATGTTAAAAAATAAATAGAAAAATTCCATTTGAAAATAGAAGTGTGCACACTTAAAACTGCACTACAGACAGGGAGCAAAGTCTATGTTATATTACCTAAAGTATTATTGCTATATGTCTCAGTACTAGCCTGTTCAGGTTCATAACCATTTTAATAATTTAAAATATATGAGAAATCTGGGTGGTTCATAACCTGAGCTACCAATTACTTTCTGCACTGTGCATCTGAGGAATTTTTGCATTGCTCCAAATCCCCTGCTGAATAAAGATAGAAAAAAAACCACCAACCATTATATTGCATCTTCATTTTATTGGATAAATTAAATTATTCTCAATATGTCTGTCAAGAAGATGGCTCATGTAAGTAATTAAAATTATAGGTCTGAGAGATGAGATTTTCACCTAGAAATGGATGTTTGTTCTGCCTTACATGTTATTTCCCACATTAAATATTTTTCATTTGAAATTATTAGAAATTATTTGGCTAAAGCCCCAAGAGCTCAGGAAGAAAATGTGCAACACTTCCAGTCTGCATTTATGAAGATAAAAGTATCTTGGAAAATGTGAGGTGAGCATGAAGTGAAAAGATGGAAAGGCATAGAAAATTCTTATTGGGGAAAAAAAGGGGGGAGGGGGGAGAAATGAAAAAGGGAAAAAAAAAATTACAAAGTCAAAATAGTGACATTTTCTTGAATATATAAAGGTCTAGTGGATGCTTTTCCTCACATCTCACTAACCTTATGGATAATTCTGCTCTAGACTGGCATCAAAGATAAACCTTCAGAGCACAGCTCCAATAATGTCTCTCTCCATCAGGCATCAGGAAGTCCATGAAGCACAGAGACATCCTGGTGGTGTATGAAGGGAAATGACACCATTCCTAAACATTTCTTTGCAGAGTGTCTCAAAAAACCAAGCCCCCAGGACTGACAGCAGGACACCACTCCTGGCTGTGTTAGTGCACCCCACTTGGTTCCACAGATCTTGTGGGACCTTGGTTCCAGCATAGTTAGGTACATTTCCAACTTAATGTCCACTCCAAATGGTTCTCCATCGGGAGGTGAACAGAACAAGAGCTACAGACAGAACAGAGTTTACAGCTGAGGAGAACTGTGCAAAAAGAAAAACAAGAAACAAAACACTCAACCAGCACAAATCAGGGCTGGTGCAGAAATCTGGGCTGAGATTGATATGGGCTGAGAGCACCAGCAAGGCTGGAGAAGTAGCCAAAGCAGGGAACTGTCTGGTGAAAAAGGAAGGATAAAGAGAGTTTTACCAAAGCATGAAGGCCAAGTTGAAACAAAGCCCAGGAAAAATCTTTGACCCTTCCTGGTGGGATCAGAACTAGGCCTAAGTGCAGCTCAGCAATCATTTGTATTCATAATAACCCAGCAATGTCAAGCCCCCATTATACCATATCCCTAAGCACCACATCTACACGACTTTTAAATACCTCCAAGGATTGTGACTCAACCATTTCCCTGAGTAGTCTGGTCCAATGCATGATCACCCTTTACATGAAGAATTTTTTCCCAAGATATAATGTGAACACCCTAGGAGTGAGCATACTATCTATACAGAGCTACTTGAAGTAAAACAATCTTTTTTTCTCATCTTGAAAAAAGCCCATATATTGATTTTCATTGACATAGTTAAGAAACAAAATGGTCATTACATAGATAAAATAGTCTGTCTTAGGTAATTACAACATGCTATTTATAATCCTAAAGATTTTAACTCCAGTTCACCAACTCTCTGTTTCATCTCACCTTGTTTAGGGATCTCTGCCAAACACTGGATATTAAAAGACTACTCAGCCTATCCCCTCTCTAAAGCCAGTAAAAAGGAAATACATGGCTTCAAAAGGCACCTCAGGTCTTCTAAAAATCTAAATTATTTTAGAGATAATTATCTTCATTGACCATAAAGAGAGCTGAGCAAAACAGACTCTCAAATTACAGCACTTAGGCAAGATAAATCTCAGGCTTAATACATAACTTCAAAAGGCATGTGACTATAGCCACCCTGGCTTCAGAGGGATAACATCTGTGTTTAAAACCTTTGCTGACAATACTGACCATGGTAATGGGCATTACTCTGGGTTAGGAATGTATCCTGAGAGGAGGATCTACACAAACTTTAAAGGGAAGGGGACTACCCCAGAGATGCACATAAACAACTGATTTTCACTGCTAAACACTGACACGGCTGAAGGATAATTCTTATCTAAATTAATTGCTACACCCTTTGATTGATAGGATAGTACATAGCTACTGTAGAAATGAACATTTTCTATTTGCACATCACATTTTCAGTTTAAAAGCAGGTGTTTAACTGACACTCTTTTCTGGCTTTCCCAGTTCAAGTGTCCTATATGAATATCAACCTGGGAATTCAAAAGCCAAAGCAAACCAGCTGACATTTGTATGAAGCCATTCTTAGCCATAAGTTACAGAATAAGAGTGTCCACCTGTTCCCAGGTTTTCAGCATGTTTTCCAATAAGTTCTGCTAATTCAAATAATTCAGAGTAAAATTCCATCAAATTTGGCTTTCATGAAGTACATATTGCATATTTGCATTTCATGCAAGGCTCAGTTTTCAGGGCAGCAGACAGGCTCCCAGTCTTGAATGCAGTCTGGCCTTATAAACACTGCAAGGTAGGCAAGTATCACTATCTCTGTTTTGCAAACATCATCAAAACTTTTATGAACTGAACCACAGAAATACCATACAATGTATCTTCCTGATTTATGAGGCCAAGCAGTAGGGATGTATGGACACTTGGCATATTGGTACAGTCCCAGTGATTTCCTTTCACAATGGCACTGCTAAAGCTTTGCTCACCGGAGCATTTTACAAATGAAGGAATAAGGTACATTGAACTTAAAAGTGTATACCAATTACAGATGTACAGCTTGAGAAATAAAGTGCTTGCTTTTTGTAATGCACTTAGCATTTTTTATGCTGCATCATTACTTTATAGCAGTGCTCCTAGTGTTATGTGCTGCTGCTGGGAGTGTTCAGCACTCCCACTAATCACATTCCAGAGTTTCAAACTGGATATGAAAAGAAAATTACTTAAGGCTTGCCTTATACAGTAGAATAGCCAGGGGAAAGGGTTAGTTGGAGGTCAGGAGAATGCAAGGAGCCTTGGCAGAGGACTTTCATGGCTATGTATTTCTCCTGGAAGAGAAATACATCTTGGCCAAAGAGCCTGCAGTGCCCTACCATGCACAGGACCTGCACCTTCTGACTCAGAGAGCAGCAGCAAAGGGGGGGTTACAGCCTTCCAGAGCAGCAACACTGGATTGCTTGTGTGGGTTTGTGCAGATGAAAGAATAGGAGTGAGAGACTTCCCTTGGGTGATGGGTGTATGGCAGAAGGTGATATATAGGTCTTTGATGCTAGATGTTACACTGGGAAAGATAGAGAAGGAAGGAGAACTGGAGTTTTCATCCAGGATTCACTCACCTGTGGAACTATTGTATGCTTTTAATGGAATACATATGTGGATTAGGCCCCATGCTTTCAGTCTGCACAGCAAGTTTGATGATTTCAAAGTATGGATACACGGGCCTTGTGAAGCCCCTTATGACCTATAAACTCCCAGCAACCTGACCAGGGGTTCCAACACATAGCACCATTTGGAGATCAAGCACCTTAAAACTCCAGAAAATGTCAATGAAATAAAATATCCCATTCCAACGGCTCAACTATCACTGGGAACCAGGGTTTTGCATGTTCTTGTATGGAGCTCAGGAAGTGAGGAAACACTACCATTAGCTGCATCCATTCAGGGGTCCCAAAACATAACCTGTCAGCTACATCTTTCATTCCCCCTTGTCTCTCCCTTCCCTTCCCCTATGATCCCCTCAAAACAATCTGCACAGTTACACATCCTAAAGTAGGATGTGTAACTTAGGTGTACTTAGGATGTGTACTTTAGGTCTAACTTTTTTTTAGTTACTTCCTAGCAACTAAAAATGAAAAGTGAGTGATAACTACATAGAAGAGCTGATGTCTCTTTGTGCACTGCACAAGCACTTGAGTTTGAAGCGAGTACACCACAAACACAAAGGAGTAAGCTCTGGAAACCACCAGAGGGAAACTGGCTGTGAACCTCTGTAATGCATTATTATGTGCTTCAGGTACTTTACACCCTTGGCAGGTTTATTACTGACTAGAATTTTCCCATTGCACAAAAGAGCTCCTTCACTTTGTCATGTCACATTAGGGTTTGCCTTACAGCCTTTGGCAAGGCCTCAACCCATATTATGTTTATAAAGTAGCAATTATTTTAAAGAAACACAGAAGCACAGTAACATCACAAATGGTAAGAAGGATATGAGGTTGCCCTTCCTTTCCTTCTGCCCAAGGAATAATCAGGCAATAAAAAAAAGAACAGTGGAAGTTCAGTCCTGTATTTTTCAAATACAGATCAAAACAAGCTCTGGTTTACTAGAATTTCTCTGGTAGTTACAACACAACTTCCTCCTCCATCCTAACAAGAGAAGCAGAAGAGCCTCTGACACACTGCCTTTAGAAAGCCACCCTGAGGGAGTTCTAATTGCTGGTAAATAAACACATTCTCAGACAACATGGTCTTTAAAATAAATATTGAAAAAGGGAAAAAAAAGTGTGGGGGGAGAAAATAGCAGAACTTATATAAGCAACAATAAATCAACTATGTCTCTCAGCTAAGTTGAAGACCAACCTCGTATAAAAGAAAGATTTTCAAAACTGTACCCTTAATGCTCAAAATTTTAAAGTAGAATCAATATCCTATTGCCAACAGAACATTTTCTATTTCTCAATTCTGCAAAAACTGCCTTTCAAAAATATTTTGCAATAGTAAGATAACAAGTCTTGTCCTTTAAATACACTCACCCTTTCACACACATTCTTTATAAAATGGGAAGAAAATCTTAAATGTACAAACTGAAAACATAGACAATAATATGCTCTTAGCTTTGTCTTTGTTAATAGTTTTGCCGCAAGGTTGAGACCTTTCTGAGTTTAGGGATCTCTTATTCAAAGCACAGTAAATTTTACCACAGCAATGACAGCCAGAGGACAGTGTCCTTATTGCAAAGACCAAATTTCAGTATTTTCAGGTCTAGTTTCAAAGCACTTGGGAACACTGCATTAACACCTAATTCATCTCCTAACAGAAATCTTTCTGTAAAAAATACTAAACTACTAATACTTTTCATGAAACACTGGTTCTAGGTACTCAAATGAAGATGATGAGAAGACGTTAATTTTCAGAAATTACATGCTACCTAAAGAGAATTTTTAAAAAGAGGGGAAAAATGTTTTAAAAAAATCTAACTTCCCAATTTTAATAGGTTAAAATTCATCAAAACTGAAACCTTGAATTACAGTCTTGGTCAAAGTGACTTGCTCATTTTTGTCCCCTTTGTCTACATATGTGTAGGTATTATTATACTGGCTATAACAACCAATCATGGATCAATAACTTTGTGGCCTCTGAGCAAAGAGGAAATCCATTCACCCATTTTACTTTTTTCTTTTCCAAAGGCGATTCAATGATACAGTAGTACCACATCCCACAGAACACTGAAAACACTTTATTACGTAAGTCAAAGCTCTGTGGTTTCATTTTCAAGGTAAAGCTTGGTAACTGTTTAACAAGTCAGTCACCAGTGGATTTAACTCTTCAGACTGCCTCAAATTTAAACAAACTAATAATTTCTATTTTCCATTCTGCTTAATAGTGTGAAGTAAAGAAACAACCACGAAATCCTCATCTGTATCTGTGTAATTCATATGCTCTAGTCCCCTATGCTTCTTCCACTGATTTTAACAAAGGTCTTAAGGTTTGTCTTGGAGCAAATAAACTGTGATATTCTTAAGAATATGGTAACTGATATCTTCATCCTGGATCAAGCCTGGAAATTTCCATGCTTCAAAGGGCACTGGAAGTCAGCTCCAACAACAGCATGCTTTTCTTTCTCTCCTCTTTTGCCACAGCCAAATCAAATCACCCTCGACTGAAGGAAGGTTTAAATGTTGTATAATGCAAAAAGATGAACAGGAGGGGCACATGGCAAGAAGCTTCTCTGCTGATTTTTCCCAGAGAAAGGCAACAGAGTCTAGATATTGACATTGACCTATTGAAAACATTTATGAAAACCTTTGATTTCTGAAGATACATACCCCTATAATACTTAAGCCTTTCAGGTACTCCTGGCGAGGTTGAGCTTGTGGTACACAGCCTGCTAGCACAACTTTCTTCTTCCCTTCTTGGGCTTTCCTAAAGAAAGACAAACAGTGGGTCAATATTTTTTAAATTATCATTTTCAACTTCAATACTCACATTATGCCTGTGAAAACAAAAAACAATCTCAATGAAGACCTTGCCAAATCAGAAGCAACTTGAGCATGTCTGAGCCTCAGAAACCAAACAAACCAACACACCAAAAGAACCCCATGTGAAGCTACAGCACACCTGGTTCAGTTTGGGGAGTATCTACAGAGACCATGACCATTGCATATGTTGGACAAAAACACAACCTTGAAAGCTCTAATCAAGTTCACTTTATTTGCCAAAATGGTAGAAGACAAACTGGCCAAGAAAGATGGGACAGAGTAATTAACATTGATTCAAGAAGTTACACAGAATGCAAGAGACAGAGGACAGGATGCAGGCAGGAGCCCCTAGCTGAGAACAGACACATTGATGTAGCACCAGTCAGAACTGACCAGTTACATCAGTCTTCTGATGTCTACTTAAACATTTATTTACTTTGAAATACGGAGTTACTTTAAAATGTTTCAGTATTTAAGCATATTGAGCACTTTGTCTGGATACCTTATTTTATTCCTTAACTTTTACACTACCTTAGAATCAGGCAGGAAATGAAAACACTAAGATGAAATGGTTAACACTGTTCATCTCATTAGTAACATTTTTATTCACTGTGAATTCAGCAGTGAGTATCAAGGCAAGACTGAGTCTCAAAACTGATGGAAGTTCTGCACAGAACTAGCAGCCACACACAAAACAGTGAGATGCAAAACCTGCCAGTGTCCATTCAACTTTGAACATCATCCATTACCACATTAACCAACACAACGACTGCATTAACAATGTGCAAAACACAAAAGAAGGGAAGTGCTGAATAATATTAGGAGATTTGCTAGGTCTAGCACTTTATGGGTTGCTCCAAGAACAATCTTTCATGGTTGCATGTCGCATCATGGCTTTGGTCAAACTGGAACCTGGATCTTTCCTCCAGCAATGTATGAATTCATGAAGTGTTTACTGTTATGCTGGAATAGGCAAAGACACATCAAAACAATTTTCAGAAAAAATATCCACAATACACAGGTATGCAGACAATTTTATACTCTTCAGCTTGCTTGCACTGTCTGCAAGATGAATGCACTAAAGTGATGTTCAACAAGCACATGAACACTAAATGAGTATCTGTCCATCTCCAGCAAAGGCAATTTTAACAAAAAAAACTCAAACCAACCCAGAGTGGTACACAGAGAGTTTCCCTGCTCAGAATTTCACTCCACACTTATTATATTGGCAAATCTGTTCACAATTTAGAGCTCAAATGAAAGCTCAAAATAACACACAGATTGCAATAATAAAGGAGATCACAGGCCATTTTGCTAAATACCTTGTGTTGGCTGCTGCACTAAAATGAATTACTTTAATGGAAAGAAACAAACACAAGTGACAATTAACAAGTAAATAGATTATGACTGTTACTTCATATCCAATAAATGCAGCAAATATCTATAAGATATTTGATTTTGTTTTAGTGGGACTTTCAGGAAATATTCAGCCATTCATCATGCAGAAGAACCTTGTTGATCCTCTACTTGCACACTGAGTGTATAATACAAATGCACACCTTTTCATCTCTTTGTTGATAATATTTCTGTGGGTAAAGGACTATGATAAGAAGCTAATTTAATATATTTCTTCAGCACAGAACATAGAAACATGTCTCCAAAACCTGTAATCCCTCTTTTCTTTCAGTGGTAAACATTTAAGGATTTTGCAAAACTTCAATGGAGGTTACCTACTACCTATCCAAGAAAAAATAAGAAAATAAAAATCATACTTCATGCTTTACCTAAAAATGTCACATAGCACCATGTGACACTCCACTAACTCAAAGGATAAAAATCACTACTTATATAGTCTAACAGACTCAACCTAATGCCTGGAGGCAAGACAATAAGTCCTGTCTCCAGCAAACAAAGCACACATCCCTAGGCAACCTGGCATCTGGTATAATCTGCTGCAATCAACAGCCTGCTCCATCTACTTGAAAACCTGTGAGCACCACAGAAGAAAAAGCTTTTATTCATGTCTTTTTATCTGAGAAAAAAAAATAAACAAAGTTTCCCTTGACACATTAAATGGCATTTTAATGTTATTTCACAGCTTTAACATTTTGCTGTATCTTCTGGGACTATAACTAGAGCTAGGGGGGAAAAAGTTAAAATGAATATTCTTCATAATAAGCATTGCCTTCACTTAACTTTTTAAAAGTTGTACAGGTCTCTGCAGAGCAAAGAATTTTGTACACTGAGATTCTTTTTTTTTTTAAATGCAATTAAGTGGAAATGCCAGAACTAAATTTTCAATCATCGCAAATTTTCAATACCTTCATAATATACCACACGATACATAAAACCCATCACAAATGAAAAGCCATTGTAATTATGATTTTTTTTTGCCTCAATTTCAACAACCACTTCTCAAAATATGCATTCCAGTGCTATATTGTCACCTCCTTTTAATATTGTTTAATGAGCCCTACTCATATTAACAAAAGCCTGCAAAAATTATCCTTCAGAAATCTAGTTAGCATGAGAACTGTATTAGAAGAGCCTTTAGTCTTCAAAAACATGAATAGTAAGGAGAATAATACCTCATGGAATCTAGTAGGTGGCATGAATAAATACATCTTCTCTTTTAGAACCCTTTTTATTTTTAAGTTACATGAACTTTACCTTGAACTTTCAATTTGACTCATGAAATATCTTCTAGAAGTATTCATTTCTAAAAGATACTTGCAAGATATACATTTGAATAGAAATTTAATTAGAGCAATTATTATTTTTTTTAAGAAAGGAATTATTCAAGCTACTTCCTAAGTAATGGGTGGGAAACAAAAAACAAGTGGGAAACAACAGGAGCATGAGGTGCTGCATACAGCAGAGGACTCATACAGGATCACAAGATTTACACTCCATTGCAGAGATAATGACATATGTTCCATGTATTCTGCCTTGAAAAAGCAAATTTAAGAATGTAACTGGAGAATTTTTGCCTTGCTCATGAACACTTGTATTTATGTTAGGAACCTTCCTAAACTGGAATATTTTTCTCACAATTCTATGTAGTTTGTGGCATGGTTCCCCTAATTTTTCTTTTTTAAACTTCACGAAAATTTAGTCAGTAATACAACAAAGACAAAGAAACACCTCCTACCCTCCAAAAAAGCTGCCCATCAGCATTTGCTACATCAGCACTGTGTGTACAGCAACACTGCTGGATACCATGGCAGCCAGGGCAGGAAGCTGCTCCACTTTTTCATGACTCACACAGATACTCGGGTGGAACCACTAAAAGAAAAAAGCTAGGGACATTTCCCTGAGGTTCAAATCTAAGGAAGGCAATAAAAAAGTGAAAGCAGAGAAGATGGGCCAAGTTCAACAGAAGACCATCTGTGATAGTGAAAGTTATTGCTAACTTGCTCTTTGCGAGGGACAAGAGGAGCCAGACCACCACTGCTTGCCTGCTCATTTCCCTCTCCATGGGCAGAGCTGCCCACTGGAGTTTTGTAGCTGTGAACTCCTAAGTAACTCACAGCTTTCAGGGAGCCACCACTACACCCCACCAGGGGATCCCAGCTGCACAGGAAGGCTTAACAGGCCTCTGAAATAAAAAGCACTCTGGTGTGCAGGGAGGAAAGCTGATAAACTACAGACTTGTCGGCATGAAACGTAATTTGTAAAGTGCTGCTCCAGTACCACAGATGTGAAACCAAGTATTTTGCCTGCAAACCCCTCATTTTTTCTTCCAAAACCCATTGTTGGTGGAATTAAATAATGAAGAAGTGTATAAACAATGAGCAGAAGGTTGCCTGCAGCAGGACTAAGTAACAGTCAAATATAAGTAAGAGAAGAACCAAGAGAAGAATTCTTAAACAAACACAAATTAAGGGGGAAAGTGCTTTACAGTGAGCCTCCTCAGCTTTATATGGATAGCACTGGGAAATGTTCATAAAATAAGAACTATTTCTAATGCTGAAGGACAACTGGAAGTAACTTTGTTATCTGAAATGAAAAAGTAATTATTTCAACCTGAATCCTACTAGGCAGATGACAAGGGACCATCCATGAGTTATTCCCACCAAATGCAGCACTCACCTCCTCATTGGTGTACCTGCACAAACCTGGCAACTTCCCTGTAAGATGTGTATACTTAAATTGAATTGTGCAATGCATCACTGTAGTCTGTTCATACCATTCTCCTTGTAGCCTCCTATTACACAAAATCCACAACAGTCCTTGTCAGGTGTTTTAGAAAGGTGTGAAGCCATAAACAAAGGGGAGCTTTGTGTCTAGAAGTGCCCAAAGAAATGTCAGTATACATGAAAAAGTTCTGCTACAGCAGCTCTAGCTAAGTACAGTATTAGCTGGGTATATGACGAGATCAGGCTGCCAATGGTTATAAAAAGTAAAATTCGGGAGATACTACTTCCCAGGCTGTAGAAATGGTGTTGTGATATCTCTGGGGAAAAAGAAATGCTATTTGGCTGAAGATGCAAATATGTGAAAGATCTTCCAACTCTCTCATCTGCTGAATTAATCAGCAGAAAGCCACAAGTCTTAAAGAGAGCACAACATCCATGGAATTAAAAGATTCCACAGCATTTGGAATGCACTCCTTAAAATCCATAAAATCACACGGCAATCTTCCATTTGAAAAATTACAAATGGTAAGTTAAACTGTGGCTTTACAGGCTTCTAATGTCTCATTAGTACCCAAAAGCTCACTTCCCATCTTCTCTGTCTGCTGTTGTTGCTCTTACCTTTCTCCAACTTGAACGCCCCCTCTTTCTCACTTCTGGCCATCTGGTATCACTCCTCCTCTGCTCCAAGCTCTGCAGCTCACTGGGCCCTTCCACAGCCCCATTTAACTCACTGATATAGGAGACATTTACTGAGCCAAGATTGGGGGGTTTAACCATTTTGTTTCATTAAGTTAGCTCATGGGAG